TACCACCGGGAAGGCCCCCAAAAGGAGGCCGTACGGCGCTCCGGTCAGGAAATTCTTGACCGGAAGATTACTCTACATATCCATACACACACACACACATAATGCATTTTTGTTATGTTTGACAGGGGATGAGAGTAAATTATCTAAAGACTACATACTGTAAACAAATCAGTGCACAAGAATGTTATTTACTTTTGCTCTCTAACATAAGTCCACGCACTCCTGAAACTACTATTATTATTAGGGGCATTCATAACTTCAAAAGTTTGTTTAAAGTGGAATTAGAGCAGCAATAAAGCTACAAAGAAATGAACCCCACTAAGTAACATTATCAAGTCGATTTTTACCAGTTCTTACCATCCTTGATCGTCAATAGTGAGATCCACATTACCCAACAAATATGACGTGCACAAGCCCCTCCCCCATCTTCTTTCCTCATAGTTTCATAACAAGAATAATATTTCTAAATTACTGTTGGCACTTTTAGAAGTTCTTTTTTGATCAAAAGTAATTTATACACAACGATATAGTCATTGAGTTTTTCTCAAGCACATAAACTATTAGAATACTACTCAAACTGAATAACTAATTGCAAGGAAGTTGGCATCTCAACACACCAACAGTGACACATTCATATTGTGACAAATTGAATTTACTTTTTAATAATACTGGCAAAGGCAATATCATTAGCAATTATATATTGCAAACATTATTTTGCAAGGCAATGAGCAGTGAATATGAGAGAACTACACTATTTAAACAAATCCCTAACGTGATGGAGTTTTGGAGTTGGTACAATATTTTACTAATATATCAATAGTTAATTTTTACAACTAACAAAGACTTCAAATTTTAAGAAAATAGAAAATGTGTACGCCTCTAGTCCTCTACCCAAATCCTTCAAGGCTTACTACTCCTCCTTTACAAATACAAAGTAAATGTTTGGCAAATGCTTAAGAGATATAAATCACAGAAGTTGCAAATATTCATTATTGAAATTAAAAATCTGACTTGCATAACATTGCCCCATTTGTTTCTGAACATTTATATATTTTTATTGCATCGTACAAATGTCTTTATGTTTTTTTTATCTATTAGCATCTTCAATCGATGTTTATCCAAATTTGTTGGTCATTTTAAAAGACCTAAGGCTATAGGCCAAATTTATAAGTTATTCTTACTCATTGTTTCTACTTCATACTTAGATATAAACATGAAAATGCATATATTACGCTTTAATGCTTTATTGACCTATTTGGTTGGACAAAAGAAGTATGAAACGAGGAATTGAACTTGAAATATGTTCTCTTACTACTATTGATTCTTTGTTTTGGATTATCAATTTTATCTTGATTAGCACTCAAAGAAGCTCTTTTCACTATTGTTGTTCTTGTTGGGGGGTGGGGGCATGGGCTTTATCCAAAATTTTCGGTACCTTAGCAAGCAATGAATTTGAGTCCCCAGATATAATGACGGACTATGTTAAGCAGCATATAGAACAACATCAACTAAACACAAATCAAAAGTGGCAATTTGATTTGGTCTAAAAATAGTTCACAGACATATTGCTAATAAAATATAAAATGCAATAAAAGGAGAAAGGAAGAACTTGATGCAACCTGCAATTGATATAAACAGTTCCAAATTTTTTAAAATAAACAGATAGAAAAATTTACATGCTTTTGTAACACGTGTAATGTCCGGGTTTGCACCTTTCGTGTAGGCTTGTATTCCCTTTGTGGGATTATGCTGATCTTTTGGCATTCCAAGCTTTTGTGTCCTATTGATTCTACTTGGAGGAAGATTAGGTATAGGTTTTGGCTGACAATCACTTTATAGAGGAGTATATAAAACCCAGATGTTTTAGGGGGTTTGGGTTTATTCTGAGCACGATATCAGAATTTAAGCTAACATGGAATATGGCCCAATTTGTGATTTACTTGTTTATGAAACAAATAAGTCACATAAAGTCTACAACACATTCAAGGGAATTAAAATTTACTCGTGTTACTGTCACTCTTCCTGTACCAAAAAAAGTTTTTGCAAATTAAACGTTTAAGCATGAAATGCCGCAAACATAATAATGTAAATGAGATCGTAAAAACTGAAAAAAATAGCATTACACTCAAATTGAGGTAAACATCATAGAGGCATATCCACAAACATGTAGTGTGCTAATAATATTTCTTGTTACTGCCTAGTGTTTATCTAGTAAAAAAGAAAAAAGAGACAAACAATGACCAATGATGAGAATATGGAAGGGAAATTTAAACCGGGCAATTGAATTATACAAAATCGACAACAGAAAATAGAAGATTGATGTACTTACATGTATGAAACACACAACGTTAGAGGCTTGCTTGAGCAAATGAACGATGAACTTTGGTAGGGGGTCTAAAAGGGTAAACCTAATCCATAGCTGGCGAGTGGAGCTGGACAAGGGGACATACATAAATGGTAACCAAGCGGATGGGCAAAATGTCTAAACCATATGGCCGGTAAAGCTGGGCAAGATGAAGGGAAGGAGTAATAAATGAGGACAAGCGGTTTGACGGGCGGAGTTTTAATGATGTTAACGGGAGTGAGATGAGAATGGTAAAACATTCCTTCCGCATATAATACTCAAATAACAATGTACAAACACTTAAAGTTATCCATTACCACCAACACATTTTTAAAACCTAAAATACCCTTACCTTTATTCACTCTTATAAGTTTGTAGAGATATGGGGCTGAATATAACTTATAAGGCAAGATTTTTTTTGTCTTATATTGTTGTTTTTAAGGAAATTTATCTTGATATACTTAAAGTGTGAATTTGTGATTAAAAATTCACAAACTATGTTAGACCTGACATAAAATGCCAGAAGATTGAGTCAATATATAAAATCCAAATGGGATAGTTGAGATACCATTAATTATGGCATAATTTGATTATTGGGATTGTCCGTTGTAATGGATTGATACAACGATGATATGTTTATTGAGAAATAGCCATTGTACTAGAGAAGTACAATGATGTTATATAACAGTTATCCATTGTATTATAATGATAGAATGTTCTTATATATATTTTATTAAGAGTTATTCGTTGTATGATCGGTATACAACGATGTCATTTGAGTTGATTCACATGAGATAAAATACAATAGTGGATATCCATTCACCCTTAAAAGTGGTGCAATGATGTTTCATAAATAAAACTGTCTCATGATTTGAAGAATGAAATTATCTCCATTAATTATGTGAAACACGGCTTAATGTTGGAAGATAGAGCAAAATGTGGAAACACAAGACGTATATTTAGTGAGTTAAACCATTGTATTAAAGTGATACAATGATGATATAATTTTTAGGTGATATTGTTGTATAGACGTCTACAACAATACCATATGATATATATATATATATATATATATATATATATATATTGGTTCAAGTGAGAAATGCATCTAATGTGAGAAATGGGAATGAATCTCAACCATTAGATTTACAAAGTTGCACTAAAAATGGCTTTATGTTGCAGTAATATTTAAATTTTGCAATGTTACACTAAAACTGTTTCATGTTGCACTAATATTTGACGTCGTTGCACCGAAATAGCTTCATGTTGCACTAGACAAGTGTAATACGGATTTTGAGAGGTATTTACAGAAATGCCACCGTGCTAGATTGCATATTTCAGTGCATCATGAAGTGTCCTTAACTGCAACTTAGTCGAATCTAATGACTGAGATTCATTCTCACTTCTTACCTAAAGAGTTCTTCTCACTTGAACCTTACTCTATATATACTGGATCATATAAAACGCTCCTTCCCATAAAAAATGAGAAGTAAAATCATCCTTTGGATTCCTTGCTAAGGAAAAATGATGGCCCTGATTTGAAGACTTACGGAGGGGGTATTATTGTCCTTCCCAATTACTTCCTTCTGTGTGTTCATAGCTCTCTTCCATTTTTCAGAGCTCTGGCTTAGTAAGTGAATTTATTTGGCATCTTTATTAATGACTTTCCATTTTCATGTTTGCACCTACGCCTTTTCACCTTATCCATAGCTTTATGTTTTATTTTTCATTTTTTTAATCCTTTTTCATCTTTCGATCCATTTGTTGCTCCACCATTTTTTCTTCCAATCGTTTCCTTACACACACGCACCGATCAGGGGCAGAGCCAGAAAAATGGCTCAGGGGTGTCAAAATTCAACCTATATACAGAATGAAATGTTGGATCGTTTAAACAATATTCATTGTCCAATTTGAATATTTTATATGCAGTTTAGATAAATAGACACTCATAGCAATAAGATAGATTGTCTTTGCTCTGTTTCTAAGTCGGTCACGTAAGTATTGAGTGAATTATACACTATTTTTAAAATTTGGGAAAATAATCTATAGTAAGCATCAAAATTTACTAATTTTACGTTTAAATAGTGTTGATTTTGCAGAAGTCATAACTTTTTACACGTAATGAGTTACGGGGGCCATAATATATCAAATCAAAGATATTTCAAAGCTCTATACTCTCAATCTTTCAGAGGGGTCAACTGACCACCCTGACCCCCTGGCTCCGCCCCTGGCACCGGTGGAGCATCCACAAAATCTTCATAAGGAAAGATTGAAAATAATAATCCCAACTATTGCCATTCCGCTAACAATAATCCCAACTATTGATTATTTTTGTATAATCCCAACTATATAGACCGTCCGTCAATAATGATCCATGACCAGATAACAAGTGAATTTCAAATAGAAATTAAGCGTACAAAATATAAGTTAGGGTTATTTATGGGGCTTACTCGCTATATCTTTTCTCATCCACTTTAGAAACTATATGAATTTATTTATAGTCGGTCACTTCGGACCATTATTGGCGGAAGGTCCCTAAAGTTGAGATTATTCTGAAATAATAGATAGTTGAGATTATTATGAGCGGACCACCAACAGTTAGGATTATTACTATCAATTTTTCCTTTAAATAATACTTTATTTACGGATTTTATTTGAAACATCAAAAATGTGCAACGGAAAATTTCAAAAGGAAATAGAAAGCAAGGGCACCGCCCACCAGGAAGGACGACCACGAGGAGGACGCCGTTGGAGTATGGAACTCAAGTGAGTTTCCCGAGGTTCCTTGCATTTGCAGGGGCGGTTGCCAAGCATGGCTACACTATCGTGCTTGATGATGACAATACTATGATTGATGACAATGGGTCCAACCCCTCATGCCTTTGTATTTGTTGTATTTCCATAACATAGTTGACATATGTAACTTTTGATTGGATTTACTTTCAAATTCGATCATATGCCTCCCTTTTCACACTTTGCACAACGAATACTTAGCAATTTGTTCGGGAATCCGACTTCTCTATTTGTCTAGGGGAGGTATCTAATCTTTGGAAAATCCCTAGTTTCCTTTCATCCATCTCTCCCTCCCTCCCTCATCTCTGGTTTGTATGTAAACATTTTAATGCAATCGATTTTCTTCGACATAATTTTATTCTTTTGTCAAAATCCCTTTTTGGATTTTATGGAATAGTCGATCGATCGGCTGCTCTTCAGTATAGAGCTGGTTTTGGAACCCTAATTTGGAGGCTTATCTCGTTTTTTAGATAGAAATTTTCTAGCTTTAAGGATAAGCAGACCGTAGTCTTGAGTCATGGCTACTGCCTCTTCTCCAACTAATCCCTCCCCAGGGAGCATCGCTGCCGCTGATATCAGCTCTCAAGTCACCAACTGTCCCAAGCCTAGGCGGTCATTGTCAGCGCGTGGGGCTTCATCCGCATGGACTCAGATTGTCCGCAGGTCTGATTCTGAACCAGACCCCTTTGAGTCCGCTTCTGGAGCAATCCTTCAGTCTCCACATTCTCACCCCACTGCTAGTCTCACTCCTGACCAATCCGGAATGTCTTCTGATTCCTCTCATTCACAAGCTGCCGCGCCCACATCTGGTAATTCATCATCCCCGGATGCTCCTGAAGGAGCTGAGGGAGAGAGCTCGGGGAATGATAATGGGAGCGGGAGCAATGCTGCTAAGAAACCAGTCTGGAATAAACCTAGTGGTGCCAAAGAGGAGGTCGGTGTAGTTATGGGTGCTCTTTCTTGGCCTGCTCTATCGGATTCTACCAAGGCTTCTGCACGATCGGATATGCATAGAGCTGTGTCTGATGGCCTGCTTTCTGTATCTCAGGTTTTTTGCATTCCCATGCATTGGTAATAGTAATCTGTATAAAAACTAAAACTTCCCTTTTGTGTTAATGGCTCTTCCTGTGTTTACAACTCTGGCATTAATATTTGCAACACTTAATTGTTCTCTTCATGTATTTGATGCTTCATTTATGCATATCTTCTCTTCTATATAATTTAGCACTCAGCCACACATTGTTGCATGCTGTCTTCAATCTAGACAACTCACTGCTCTTTGTTTTATGCACCTTGTCTCTTGGGCACTATGATTGATAAACCTGTTATATTACATATGATATCATAATTTTGGTGCAAATGCACTTTTGGTGTGTTCATTTTTTAGGGAACTGGTATAACGTCATCCTCATCTCCACATAATCATCTTCATTCTAACAATGGAAATGCTAGTTCAACTCCAAATCATGCTCCAAACCGCCAGAGGTCTTTTAAGCGTGGTGGTGGAAATTCTAGCAACACTGTGCAAGCTAATGGAAGCCTCTTTCAGGTACAAGGTGAGGTCGGTGAAATGGCCCCCCAATATGCTGAAAAGTCTGGTAAATCTAGTGCAGAATCTTCTTCTAAAGACATTGTGAATCGAGATGATGGACAGAGAGGATTTGGAGCTCAATCACAAGGTGGAAATGTGAGTCAACACCCGCGAAACTCCAACAGAAGGGGTAATGGGGGGACACGACCTCGTGGGGATGGATCCTATAACCCTGTCCATGGTGGTGCTCGTGATCATGAGCGCACTAATCAGGAATGGAATCATAATAGGGGGTTTGGTGGGAGAGATGCCCACATCCCTCCACAAAGATTTCCCTCTAGGCCCTTCATTCGCGGACCTCCTACTCCTCCGCCATTTATTCCTCCGACCATGCCCATTCGACCATTCAGCACCCCAATTATTTATCCGGGTGAGATGTGTCTTTGAGATCATTTCTATACTTGATTAACTTTATCACTTATCTGACAGTCTACTGATTTTCAATGAGCATGCAGAGGTTGCATCTCCTGTGTTTTATGTACCAGGACTACATCAAGAGTCATTTAGAATGCCAATGTTTCCTAATATGCCACCTTATTCATATCATGCACCGGATCCCCAGCTGTATAGCAAAATAGTAAATCAGATAGATTATTATTTCAGGTTAGTGTCTCTCCAGCCTCCTCTTCCTTTAATAAGGCAGTCTTGTTGTTTCGAATATGTTTACTTTGTAAACAGCTAACCACTTGTTCTCCTGACCTACTGGTTGCAGTAATGATAATTTAATTAAAGATGTGTTTTTGCGTGAAAACATGGATGAACAGGGGTGGGTTCCTATTAAACTGATAGCAGGCTTCAAAAGGGTGAGTTGGTTAGATTGGATTGTTTTCTTTATTATTCAGAATCATTTTCGTTTTTCTTTCCTCTTCTTTTTTTGCATATACATTTCAAGCAAAATATTATTCTATACATTCATTAAACATAAAGCTTAACAATTTTGGAAACGGATATACTTTACTTTGCATTCTATTGGAGGTACAAAGGGAAGAATTAACAATGAGTGCTTGTTGCTGTGGAACCTGGTGTGCCTGAAATCCACTTGGAACGTGTTTAAAGAATTGTAGCTACGCAAGTGGGCAGGGTATTAAGAGAATCCATTTTAAGTATATCCGTGTCATACTTGTCACGGCTTCGCCTAGTCGGCTACTAGGCGACCTAGGACTAGGGACTAGGAAGTGGTCGTCGGGTTCCTGCCTCGCCAGAAGAAGAGTGGGCGACCCTGGTGTCGTTCAGTCGTCGGGCGTGCTTTTTGTGATAAGGTGTCACCGATTTTTGGTCAGTCTAACCGCAGTCGCCGATTTAAGACTTTAGGCCCTTTCATCTTATCGTTAGCCTATAACGCTATCTACCCTTAAGACTGACTTGAGGGACTTTTAATTAAAATCATAGTCCAAATAATCTTAGAAGATCGTCGAGATGTAGATAGTCTAAAGATGCAGACTCGCAGAAAGCAGGTGGATGCACAGAACTCCCAAAGTAACACTCCCTCCGTTGATAATCTCTTCTCATCTGTTGATTGATTTCTTTATAGGAAAATGGATCATATAGACCCTTCAACTATCACCAATACATCACATTAACCCATCCACTAATGAAAACATCACTTAAACACATTTACTCTCTAAAAACAGTCAATTTGATGGAAAGCAATCTCCAACCGGTTAAGTGCATATTTGACTTTTCTTCTTTTCTTTCTTTTTGTTTTTCTTTTCTTTTTCCCTTCTTTGTTCTTTTTCCTTGTTTTTCAACCCATTTTCATGCATCTTCCATGTTATAGCTGCAGATTTCTACATATTTTTATTTCATCTTTAAACTCTATATTTATACATACCTATCTATATATTTATTTATTTCATCTTTAAACTCCTATTCTTCGGGAGTGTTGTATTCGAACGTCTCTCAATATATTTAAAAGAGTATGTATGTTTATAATCAGGGTAAAAAGTTTCAGGATAGTGGTCATCTTCCTATGCTGCTAAAACATTTTTGGGGTTGTTGCCTGTTGGATGCTTGGTATCCTTGATTAACAACAGTGTATAGGATATTGACACAAGGATATATTTATGAATATTTAAAATTTAATTATAATGACTTTCATGGAAAAATATTTACTACTCCCTCCGTCCTGCTATGATTGTCCCATTTTACCTTTTCGCTCCGTCCCACTAAGATTGTCACATACCTTATTTGATAAAATTTATGTGGTTCTAAATCATTTTTACTTTATTCTTACTTTATCAATTCAATATCAACCACATAAATCCACTTTTATTGATAACCGTGCCACCTTCTCTTGTACCAAACTTAGGGGGACGGAGGTAGTAATAAACAGTCTTAGTTAAAAAAGAGTGCCTGAGTCGTGCATAGGCGCCAAGCACAAAGCTATGCATGGAAATTGGAATCAGAAATGTTGGCCCTAGCATAGCCCATCAGGTGCTTGTTTCATCACGCTTCAGACTGTCTCGGCGGACATCAAGAAGACATAAATTCAGGTAGTTGGGTGGCAACGGAATATTGGGACTAGGTGCCTAGAGTTGGCAGTTAGGGACGAAGGTGCTAGTGCAGAAGTTCACTAGGTGGCGGATGTTGGTGGCTTCTCTTTAGTTTTAACACTGTTGGGTATAGGTCGTCTAGTTTGATTATAGGCTAATCAAGGTTTTGAAACGCGAAATTGGGCCCGAGGCGGTCGGTGGTAGCCTCACGAGGCGTAAGCCTCAAAATAAATTGCTTTAATGTTAAATGATAGTTGATATATGATAACTTGAAAGTTATTAAACGGTAGGCTTATAAATTGTTCAAAACAGAACATTAAAATATTAAAAAGTTAAATAAAAAAGGAAAAATGGAAACTAATAATCCAACCTTTTAGCGGTCTTCTTACAATAGTCCCATCTTTTCGTTATTCATGAATAATCCAACCTTTGCACCTCGTCTTCATTCACAGGTCCCTGACTGGTTGATGACCTGTTATTCCAAGTTATTTTCTTATCTTTGCAAAGCATTATACCATAAATCTTACCTATTACAAAGATAATATTTTGCAAAGATAAGACAACAACGTGGAATAGCAGGATTAGCAGGTCATTAACCGGTCAGGGGCCAGTGAATGAAGATGGGGTGCAAAGGTTGGATTATTCTTGAATAACGAAAATGTGAGACTATTGTAAGAAGACTACTAAAAGGTTGGATTATTAGTTTCCATTTTCCCAATAAAAAATTTAAACAATAAACATAAATGACAAACAGAAAAAGAGTAGAAAGGCTGGAAAAAGTTAATAGAATGGGTAACATTTAATAACTTCAAATAGTTCATAGCAGAACTTTTAAAAAACAAAAGAGTGAAAAAACTTAAACAATAAACATAAATGACAAACAGAAAAAGATTAGAAAGGCTGGTAAAAGCTAATAACTTCAAATAGTTCAAAACAGAACTTTTAAATAAAAACATAAATGAAAAACAGAACTATCAGATAGGTAGTACTATTTGATAACTTTAAATAGTTCAAAACAGAACTTTTAAATAACTAAGAAATTAAATAAAAATACTTAAACAATAAACTTAAAAGACCAACAGACAAAGATTAGAAAGGCTGGACAAAATTTAATACTATTTAATAACTTTAAATAGTTCAAAACAGAGCTTTTTAAAAACTAAAAAAAATTAAATAAAAAGAGAAAAAGGGAGGAACTTGAGCGGTGGAATATTTTATACGGACTATTTACGTGGACAAAGTACGAAGCAGGGGAGCTTCTGAAGTCTCTGTATGGAAGCTTCAACTGCGACAGCGTCCAGGTATTTGGTATTTTAGGATTAAAAAAACGAGTCCCTTAAAAAAACGAGTCCAAATTGCGTAAAACTTGAGGTGACCGCCTCATATACGCCCAATGCCCAGAGCCCGCTTCGACGCCTCACAGAAACAAAGGCGTAAGCCTTGTTAGGGGAAGGTAAGGCTCTAGCCTTTCAGGCGGAGACTGTACGCACTTGCGCCTTTGCGCCTCAGATGCGAAACCATGAGTCTAATTTTCTACTCGGTATGGGTAAAGCTGAGTCAATGTTTTAAAACCATGAGGCTAATTTTCTACTCGGTATGGGTAAAGCCGAGTCAATGTTTGGTTTTTTTAGTGACCAGTTAAGACAAATATTCAGCTAGTTGGGTGGCAATGGAAGATTGGGATTTGGGTGCCTAGAGGTAGTAGTTAGAGGTGAAGGTGCTAGTGCAGAAGTTCACTAGGTGGCGGTTGGTGGTGCCTTACTCTTTAGTTTTAACACTGTTGGGTATCGGTCGTCTAATTTGATTACTTGGCATGGGTAAAGCCGAGTCAATGTTTGGGAGGCCTTGTTTTATATGTAGGCAAGCTAAGAATGACGTCTGGGTTATGCATTTACGGTTAATTAGCATTATAACACATTAGTTGATGGTGATTCTATGGAGTGGCATGCAAGAGTGGCCTAGACCCTAGTACCTACTCAGAGACTAATCTGGTTAGACATGATCTAAATCGAATAAGGTGGTGTAATGGGAGAAGTAGTGGTTACCAAGGACATCCTAATGTGGGTCTTAATCAGGGCTAGATGGGCATAGTTACATTTTGAGGCATGTATTTGTTCAGGTGTTTAGGTTATGCATATATTCCAATCAACTCTAGGTAAAATTGAGGGTATAACTACCCAAGCATAGCCTGAATGGCAAATGTTTGAAACTCTGCTCAAATAAAAATTCAACGATTGAAACTCGAGCTCAATCAACGCTTATTTCCATTGAGCTCAGGTTGACCCAACTCATGAACTATTCAAACTTGTATCGAAGAAGATTGATTGTTAATAGTTTTTCCATATATTTATATGAAAATTATAAAGTAATGTTTTCAACCAAATACTTTACTAAAACGAGCACAGTATCATCAAAAATAAACTTAAAACTAAAATTAATAAATGTGTACACATGTATAAGATAAATTTTGTTTGATATATATATATATATATTATTGAAACATATTGCGCTTCATATATATATAATTATATATATATATATATATATATATATATAGAAACTGTTGAAACATACTGCGCTATATGTATATATATGAAACACGCAATATGTTTCAATAATTTATTTAACTGCCTTTCAAATTGATATTTAAGCTAAAATTTGGTGGGCATAAACTAGATTTGATGAACATTCTCAAAATATTCCATAAAAAAATTCCACCAGGAACCGTCCCAAACAATGAGTTGCGCACAACAATTTCGGTCTGTTTGTTATTCCCTCTGTTTTTCGGTCCTTCTTATTGAGATGTCTCATATCAAATGTGGTTCTAAATCATTCTTTCTTTATTCTTACTTTATCAATTCAATATCAACGAAAAAATCACTTTTCTTAATAACCGGACCATCTCCTCATGTCCCAATGTTAGGGGGACAGAGGTAGAACTTAGAACTATGTTTTATTAAACAACTCGATTAGGCTTGTGGACTACTCAAGTTGAATACTACATCAACAAATTACCCCATTGCCACAAAGGCTCCCACCTATGGTGGGGTAAGGGGGTCAGGTGCACACAACTTTACCCTTGCACTATAACATAAAAAGACTGTTTCCGATACAAATTGCATTGATTGACTGTTGCTTCATAACAAAGAACCGCGGATGGTTTAGTGAGCCATTTTTCTGAAGTGTTCTGAATTAGTTTCACCTATGGTGGGGTAAGGGGGTCAGGTGCACACAACTTTACCCTTGCACTATAACACAAAAAGATTGTTTCCGATACAAATTGCATTGATTGACTGATGCTTCATAACAAAGAACCGCGGATGGTTTAGTGAGCCATTTTTCTGAAGTGTTCTGAAATAGTTTCACAAATAGATCGGTTCAATTTGCTAACACCCTAAGTCCTGAGGTAAACAATCATCATCTTTCTTTTTTTCATCTTTATGAGAATGTATAGTTCATTCTTTTAATAGCTTTAGCAGAAAAATCCTTGCATGTCCATCAGCCTCTCAGTGGTCTGTCACACTCTTAATGCGTATATGGTATAGGCTTGGTAATACTTACATAAGTCATATTTGGAATCGCTAATGAACCACGTGGTAAATACATGCACATTGGTTGTATTCCTTTCTGCGTGTTGTAAAAGTATTGCTCACTAAAACTTCACTAAAACTCACGGTCTGCTGCAAATAATTCATGCTTTAGTTTCTTGTAAAGCAACAATTTGTTTTTTCTTTTATTTACAGGTTTCTATGCTCACAGACAGTGTTCGAGCTATATCAGAAGCTTTACAAGCTTCAGGTGTTGTAGAAATACAGGTATATTGGTTTAGTAGATTTCCTTTATTGTTTTAGCAACCAGGTAACAGTTGCACTTAACGAATTGAATGATATGTTTGTAAAGGATACTCCGCAGTATTTAATATACTTGTTTCCCTTAAAGGATGGTAAAGTGAGGCGACGCGATGACTGGATGAAATGGATTGTGCCACATTCTATGCGATATTCGAGTCATCAGGCTGTTTTACAAGACCCTAACAAGGTTTCGGTTATGGGCCATCTCAAGAGTGTTACATTAGATGAGGTGGCTTCAAATGGCAGTGCAGATGCATGTGATAGTAGAGGGTCTTCATCTCAGCAGCAATCTGGAAACAAAATCATAAGTGAGGGAGGACAGTCGGCACTTGCAGGAAACTCTAGTTATAAAGACATGTTTTGAACAAGAGCAATCAGCTTGATGGGCAGGGCCAAAGAAACTCGATTTGAAAGTACAGGCAAATCCGAAGCATATTGAAAAGAACAGCTGAAAAATATAAAATAAAAATGAAACAGTCCAGAGTTAGATGATGTTTAAAGCTGGTTTTTATTTTAGCTTGTGGGATGTATATTTTTTATTTAATTTAGGGGAAAAGTTTCTAATCTCCTAAAATTCTATTGTTTGTGCCATGGGGAGTTTTGATTACAATTGCCCCTTGGTGGGTTATATACTTCTATACCTTACTCAACAAATTTGGTGGTCAAGTACACCTGCTACTCAGCTGCGGGACCAGGCTGGGGTGAGCCGGTGCCAGCGCCCGGCGCCCCTCCTTCGCCGGAGCTGTCAAGGTTGGTATATCTGGTAATCTTATAGCGTCCGTTCTGTTCGCCGTCGGTTCCTTCGTTGTGTTGAGCATATATTTCTCTAGGTTTGATAGGTTGACGCAATATCACCAAGAACTAGCATTGTAGTGAGGTTACTATGTTCTTGGCAATTCCAACTTACAAAACCCATAACGGACAAGACATTTGCCAAAGTTTTCCCACGCAAGAGGGAGAGAAAACCCTTTGGCAAAGACACCTGGTAAAAAAATAAGTGAAGCTGTTGATTTAAAATTCATTGCCGCCGTTGTGTTGCTTCCGCTGCCATGCAACTCCACTGCTGTATCTTCTGCCTCCAAGTTGCTAGTTTTTTTAGTCTCAATACGAGCTCTCAGTGATAGACCCGGACCGGGCCAAGGCCCGGTCGGGCCTCGGGTCTGGTAGAGGTTGGCCCGGGACTGACCCGGGCTATGGCCGGTTCCGGTTCGGTCTGGGCCACCAGGCCGGGTCACGGGTCGGGCCACCATGCCAGGCCGGGCCGGTTCAATTTTTTTTTTAAAATTATTATAGATTATACAAATTCCTATTAAAAACAAAGTTCAAGTGCATTTATTTGAAATAGGAACTACATTTGAGAATTGAGAAAAAAATAACAATACGAAATACATTTTCTAATAAATATCAATTGAGATTTTCGCCACTGTTGGTTGTTGTTTTCCTTTTTTCACAAGACTTCATATGTTTTATTGGCATCCCGTATCCGTGTGAACGCTCCAAGCTACACTCTTTCTTGCACCACTTGCAAGTTGTCCACCACAGTTCGGTCTTCGGGTCCTTCCACTTATCAAAATATTTTTGCATAAGGGAAGATGTACTTTCCATCTTTAAAATGGTATACGTATAAGTAGGAATGTAGGATAATAAGAGAAGATGAAGATGGATAAGAGTTGGAGAAGAGGTGTAGAAAATGTTAGAAAATAGATGTATTTATAGATGTTTTTGAACCCCACACCACCACCCTTGGGACCCCCCCTGCCCCCCACCCAAAGCCGCAACGGCTATATAGCCGTTTGGGAGCTTTTTTAAAAAAACTCTTTTTTTTAAGTTATACATATTGTAAAATAAGTTAATTAATTTAATGAATTAAGTAAAGCTATTTGTACTTAGAAAAGTGGTTTGATTTATAATATAAAAATGTTACAAAATAGGTGTATAAGTATTTAAACAAATTACATATTGTAAATGTATTTTTAATTTAAAAATCGCCTTTAGATTTTAGAAAAATAATTTTAAGTCGTAAGTTTGTAACCAATTAATTAATTTGAGAAGTGCTACATATGAAAAAATGAATGCATATTTATTTGAAATATGAAGTACAAGTTTACAATTTTGAAATATGAAGTACAAGTACAAATTAATTTGACAAGTGCTACAAATACATTTTATAATAAATTCTAAAATACTAATCAATCGAAATCTCCGGCATAGGTAGACCCACCATCGGTTGTTGAGTCATCCATAAAATCTTGGGAGGGGGTTATACTTTAATATATAAACTATATATTAAGTAGATGTAGAATGTATGTATTAAGTGGATATAATAATTGTATAAGAATTAAATATTAGAGTATAATGGAGAATTGGAGATTGGAGAATAAGAAAATAAGTATATATGAAATATAAGTAGAGAAGTAGATATTATTATGTATTAAGTATATACTAATAGTTTATAAATTATTTTTAATACTTTAATATATAAAGTATATATTAAGTAGATGTAGTATTTATGTATGTATTAAGTAGATATAAGTATAGATTAAGTAGATAAGAAATATAAGTAATATAGTATATGTATTTATAAGTAGATAATTAATATATAAGTAGATATAATAATTGTGTAAGTATTAAATAGTAAAATAAATCAGTTTGCTCAGCCTTTAACAAATCAGGCCGATTTTTTAAATTAGCTAAAGAAAATTTGAGGTTTCATCATGATTCCATTGGGCTCTCAAAAATCCAGAATATTTGAGTTTCTAGATATCTTTTCAAATATTGTAGGATTTTCTGCCCTAGCACAAGAGGAAACATTCCACATGGAGCACACTTCCATTGCAGACGATGAGGAAGCCATATCAATTTCTAAACTCATTTTTAATTTCCAAATTCAGGGAGCCTACGCCGAGCAACGTCAGCTTATACCTTCAGAGAGCCATCACAAACTACCATTAATTCAGGCGTACTCAGATGCCTCGGACCGTTATGACCCGTCAGATGACTCAAATTTTTCAGACGATTTTCTGGGGCACGCAATAGAAAGCGAACGTCGACCACCAATCTCCGACCAAACCGATATTAGGAACTCAAAGTTCAACAGAGCTATTTGCCGCAAATCCAAGTTTATAACTTCAGATAACTGCTTGCCAACAGATAACCTGAACACCCAACTTACACTTTACAGGAAAACTCAGCAGAACAAGCGGCGCCATAGCATGAGGACCAGGTCTCAGACCAAACAATTTCCGTGGGCTTAATTTTTACCGTTTTACTGTACTTTTCTTTTGCTTTTTCCTTTATTTTCTGAATGCCTTTTATTTCGCATTGTACCCTATCTTTTTCTTAATAAAGTCCTCTTTCAAAAAAAAAGTAAAATAAAAAATAATGGAGAATAAGAGAATTTGAGAAGATGAATATGGAGATGAGTTGAGAATAGAGAGTAATATTTAGGAAGAGTTGGAGAAGAGGTGCGAAAAAATGTTTAAAATTAGGAGTATTTATAGGTTTTTTTAAACCCCACCCCCCACCCCCACCCCACCCACCTGGTACCCCACCCAACGGCTATATAGCCGTTTGGGAAGTGGGTCAACAGCCCAAAAGGGGTTTTAAAATTAAATGATTTTTTTTTTTTAAAAAATGACCGTTAGGCCCGGGCCCGACCCGGCCGGGTCGGGCCGCCAAAAACAAGCCCCGAGCCCGGACCCGCCACCCCCCACCGGTTCGGTGCCCAAACTGGACCCGAGAACCGGGCCGGTTCCGGGCCCGCACAGTAGCGGGCCGGGCGGCCCGAACCGGGTCCATCACTACGAGCTCTACGTTTTGTTATCACCCTCCTTGTTTCTAAAATAAATACTTATAACTACAATCGTTTATTAGTCTATTTTTTGTTTTGCCGCAATTGTGTCCAGTTTTTTTTTAACTCTATCAATATGTACTGTTTCTCTATTACTCCGTATATCATTTAAATTCAATCTAGTCTTTCTAGTACGAGCCTTTCAAAGGATCTAGTTAGAATAAGATTATGTAGTGAACAAAACACAATGTTATGATCATGTCACTTAAGTGTATAATTGATCAAGTATAATATGTTTGTTTGCTATGCACAAAAAACAACGGGTCTCATCCACTCGGGATGAAAAATAGATTATTTATAAATTCAGGATGTGGTAGATGAAAATTATCGATATATAGCACGAATGATTGAAAAACTATCAATCATAGATCTAAAATATCACAAATTTTGATTTCTTTCATTTATAGTTGTTTAATTTCTTAGGATGCTTTTACTTGGACTGTAATTTGCTGGTCTGAACTGGTCTGATTTGATTTCTTTGTATTTTTATAACTACTCAAGTCTGGTTTGGTATGGCCTGGGACAGACCAAAGTTAAAAACATCCTTACTTTGGATTACTTTTTCTTCACAAAAATCATTAGTTGAACAAAGTTAAAAATATCTATAATATTTAAAAAAAAATCATGAATTTAAGTCTTAGAATAGTGTTGTGTTAATGGGCCCGACAAAGGAGTGGTCCATTATCCCTTAGCACGACAACCATCAAAGCCCAACTTGTGAGCGGCCCAACAAAGAGGCATGTCCGACACTCGTCCTCTCTTCAAAGACGCTAGGCGTACGTGGCCTTGTCCAAATAGAGCCGGGTGACGATCCAAGAGCCTCGGGGAGGGTGTTCAGTATGGCCCTAGCAACGGGCCTGGCCTTGAGCTCACTTTTGTCAAAGTCAGGAGACCAGGGGGGCTCGTCTAGAGCCATTGGCGGGAAAACAAGACATTGACGAGAAATACATTTAATGCAGTAGATTTGGTAGTTGGGAAGCTAGCCACTCAAGAACTTTCACATCACCACTACCATCTACCCCTTGTACTACACTAGCTACAACAACTATCCCTTTGTACTCTCAGCTCAAATTAGACGCTCGGCCTTGTCCGACAGTAGGGTGCGCTGCATTGTTCCTTATTATCATTTAATCACAACTCGGCCCATTTATTAGGTACACCATTTGCTCATCCATTTATTGCTTGTGCCATTTATTATATTCGACCCGTTAAACTCATTCCCTACGAAACCCAAAGGTAGGTGTTGGGTCTTTGGAGTTGAATGAATAAACCTCAACAAATAGATTGATAGTTTTCGATCAAATTGTACTTATATTGACATCTTCCATGTTTCAAGTCCTAAATTGCTATGATGGGTCCCAAGTGAGGCAAAAGTCTATAGGGGGTGAATAGACTTTCAAATCTTTTCATTTTCCAACCTTTTTTCCTCTAACAGAATGAGTTCCAATATCTTTTGGGAGATATTGAAACATACATCGGAAGTCTTGACCTCAAGAGTGTGACACTTAATAGAAACAAATGTTATGACCCTTTTAGTTGTGAGGAGATGGATGAAACAAGGTTCAAATGTGTTTGCCAAAATCAGCTGACTCAAGAAGCTAACTGCCAAACCTGAAGGAGTTGGCTGCTAGAATTAGGAGCTGACTGCCAAAACCTTTAGGAGCATGCTGCCGAAATGAGATGTTGCTTCAAAGGTTAAGGTATAGGTATGAACTATACTCTAACACATTGATAGGATTTAGAACAAGTCTTAAAACATAAGTACGAAGGATTTAGACCTAAGGAAATAGATCACTTTGATGAACAAA